TTGGCACCTGATGGGGTCACTAATGAAAATTTGGTAAGTGGTAAACCTGCTTCGCACTTTTATGGGACAGCAACAACAAATTTCTTATTTGCATAGTTTAAATAATACACCTTTTGCTGTTCATTAGCGTAAAACGTACACTCATTTGTCCCAAGCGATGCTTCAATAACTTTTATTGTACTTTCTTGAACACCGTAAGCAACATCATTGGCGCGAAACGACTTTCAATAGCGATATTTAAATACGCGCGAGCATTCAACAGTATCAATAGACAATCAACTGAACAACTGGACAATCATTTGGGTGGAACGTTGTTTCATGTGCGCGCAATGAAAATTCACTAGCACCAATTGACAAACGGTTGCATTTATTGACAATCAGTCAACCAAAAATGAAACTTCATTAGTGTTATTAGCATAAACATAGGCAATCTATAGCGCGTTTGGACAATCATAGCCATTCGAGAATACATTCTTTAGTGCGTTTGGACAATCATTTGAGCGATTCAAAATACAATAACACAAAAGAAAAAATCAATACTACTCTTATCATTTCTATTTAAATTTCAGCTTTCGATAAATGATAAACTCTCTGTTAATACAACGGGGTAGATATGTTTGCATAAAACGGAGCCTGCCCACATTTAGCTGGAATAATTGTTTCAATACTATTTCGATTCAAAGCCTCTAAAAGCAGCTGTGTGCGGTAATGGCCCAAAGCAAGGCCTTGATTTCTTGCTTCATCTCAATTATTCATTTCTTGTTGTATTGCGGGACGACTTATATCTGCTTTCATCGCCGCTTTCAAGGAGCTTATTGCTTGTTCCACGATGTTTAGAAATAGACTGTAAGGCGGCAATTTTTTCATCTCAGTGTTTGCACCTGGAATGACTGGATTGTGATGGGCTGGGGCACCATCGTAAATGAAAATGACGTTTTCATCGGGATCAAGATTAAAACGCGTCTTTGCCATAAAGTCGTTAAATTTCTGCGAATTCATTCCTAATTAATCGGATAATTGAAGAGTGGAACACAAGGCCATTAGTCGGTGAAATAGCGAGTGCAACCGTCACGTATCTTCCACTTTGACCGCAGACTCTCCTGTAGGCCCTTTCTCCTCTTCTCGCTCTACCTTCAAGACTGCGGTATTATTATATTTTTACACGTACAATCACGGCAATTTCATGCTGAAAATTGAGCAATCTTTTATGTTTTAGCTTTTTTTATCCATGAACATTCAAAAATACAAAAGTAGTATTGATTTTTTCTTTTGTGTTATTGTATTTTGAATCGCTCAAATGATTGTCAAAACGCACTAAARAATGTATTCTCGAATGGCTRTGATTGTCCAAACGCGCTATAGATTGCCTATGTT